CTCCTCCCACCACCATCACCACCACCACCAGCCCCCCACCCCCGAATCTATCCATAGCCAGATTTATTTGTGTATCTCATTACAGGAAATGGAATGTTGTTCCTGCCAAATGCATTAATAGTGAAGTGGGGAAATTAGCCTGTTGTACAGCATGCTCTCACTCAGTCACTTAAACCTATGGTGGAAGTGGAAGCCAAGGAAAGACAGAGAGGATTGGGTGACAACTGCGGTGTGCTTGTCAAATGTGTATTAAAGAGCACAGAGTCCATGAACTCATTTATAAGAACTTTGGGCCTTACAGTTGTTTCTTGAAGATGATTTTGAACTCATTATTATTTGAGACACACCTGCTCTGATTCATTCTCTTTTTAAAGGAAATGCTGTTTTTAATAGCGCTGCAGCTTTATGGAAATTCATTGTTTTCCTCGTCTTAGCACACAATGACAGGTTACTGCTGACCTTGCTGCTGTATGCTGTGCGCAGGTTGATGTGACCTAAGTGTATGTTTCTCTGCGTCCTGGATGGAGCCCAGTGGAGCTCTGGGGAGGACAGGCAGTAGGGAGCTACAGTGATAAATTAGATGGAGAAAGCAAAGGTCATAACTTGTGATTGTAGCGTGGGTGTGGGATGAGTGTAGAAGGAGCTGATGAGTGTGTGAGCGGGGAGAAAAAATATGGCATAGCAGGTTGTTCATTCATGACATGAAAGAACGATCACACGCAGCAGCCAAGAGTCATATCCACCTTGTTCAATAGCTTGAGGAAAAATGAATACAGTTGCTGTTTTGATTTGTTCAAATTTGATATTTGGCCTTTTTTGGAGATTGTCCGGTGTGTATCTTTTAACACATACGACCCATTTGTCGAGTTTGAATCAGTTAGTATATGGATTTGAACCCGGGCCTACACTGGTTGGCTAGTCAAGCCGGTCCATGACAATGAGTCAATAGAGGATCACTTTAGAAAATAAAAGCATCCAGAACGGAGGCAGAAATAAATGGAATCATGAGCACTATGATGGCCCTGATGGGGTGAGTATGAGAGAGAAAAGCCCAGGTTTGAGAAGGGCCACAGAGCGTAACATAGAGACAAGAAGCTGTTAGGGCCCCGACAGTAGGAGGACACAAAAGGGTCCACACTGCATTTCTCCCCCTCCTCCTTCTCTGCTCTATCTCTGTCGTTCTTTCTCTTCAGCAGTACATTTCTCCTCTTATCGTCCCCCTCTTCTTTCTAAGTCTTGCGAGTTTGTATTCGGCAACATGGCTGCGTGAGACCCCACGTACAGTTGTAAACAATATACAATGAGATCCGTCACAAAAAATATAAGGAGAGTGTATTCACTCAATGGAGAGGAATCATGTCGGAGAAAAGTCAATTACGGGCAGCGATGCCGAGAATTAATGGAGCGGTGCATTACTCAGCTTGAGGAGGGAGAAAAGGCAAGAGAAAAGAGGGGATACGTTAATTGCATTTCCACAAATACTCGCCACACAGGGTGGCAACACTAAACGGCAGAGTGGTCCAGAGGAGGGTAGAGATGTAAGCAGAGGAGGACAAAGAAAAACAAGAGATGAGAATGGAGTCATACTAAAGAGGGAGCCGTCAAAAACATCCTCATATTGTGCCACTTTTGTTCTAAATGACTTGTTTGTTTTTTAAACAAGAAAGGAAATGGTATTTAAACTGATTCAAATGCAAACCAAATAGTTATTTTGTTTTAATGAAATACATATTTATAGTTTCTTGTTTAAAGACTTATTTCAAGAATACATTGCAAAAGTCTCACAGCACTGGCATATTGTGATTTGATAAAATAGCAAGTTTTCACGCAGTGAGCAAATACAACTAAACTTTCATTTGGCAGACAGTTTTGTCCACATTGACTCCGGACAGGTCAATGTCTTGCTCAAGGACACTTTGACATGTGGACAGGAGAATGCAGGATGAAGTCCAACTCTCTCTACCAGATCATCTAGAGCCCCCCCTCTCTTTTTATTATTATAAATTCACAAAAACTGTTTCTGAATAGTCGTATGAGTTTATTTATTTATGATAAACGTACTGCTTTGGCTTGGATCTGAGAATCTAAATGAAAGTAAATAAAATAACTAGACTGCTTCAGAATACTATCGACGCAGACTGAGTGTTGGCAGTGAGTGCAAATATCAAATAAGCATCACTGTGCCTGCTGACAGTCAGTACACTGGTTGGTGGTGCTAAATCGAATTAATAAAGCTCTTAAACACGCCACAACATAACAGGATCTTAACAGCCATGGCAGTGTTGCTGCCTCTCTCCCTCTCGCTCCCCCATCCCACCCACCTCTCTCCTTTCCGCTTCAGAGGTTTCATAAATATAGCTAGCTTACAGGGAAGGAGTGTTCACCCTCTGGGTATACCAGTTTGTTTGCGCTCTCTTCTTCTTTTTTTTTTTTTTTTTCAAGCATAACTGCATTTTTTAAAAACATCAACAAATGATCCACAATTTGCGAGAGCATCATTTCACCTATCAGCAGAAGACTTGCAGCCTCTGATCTAGGAAACCCAGTGTCATTGATTTACGGAGAGAGCCGGGCGATGTGTAGGAATTCATTTGCCTTTCAAACAAGCCCCCCACCTCTAATCTCTGCTGAGTTATCTTATCAGAGGGACAGGGGAGATGAAAGAAGGACATAAAGTGCCACCAAGCCACCACAGGACGTTAACATCCCCCTTGGAGACAAAGCGAAACAGAACAGCTTTTGATACCATTGTGGTCCGTCTCACAGTCGCTACTGTCACTGGTCTAATGTGAGTGATTGTACAAATGGCTGAAAGAGTACGAATGTGAGCATTAGTTAGAAAAGGATCCGTTTAAATTACAGTATCCTTTAAGAAGAATAGTTGCAGTTTCATGTCCATTGGTTGAGTTTATCTTTGAGTTTTATACAAAGCCCACTTAAAATGTTTGAATTCATCATTATGAAAAATATAACTTGGACACAACGAGGTGCAACAGCATCCGTCTATTTAAGCTGATCAGAGAAAGTATTTCCCAGAAAGGACGTTGCTTTAGGGTTGATGTGTGAATGTCACCGAGTCTTGTTTTTATCTTGGTTTGTCTCCTAACACTTCGGTGTTAAAACGCAGAGAGGCAGTCAGCTGGTGCTGTGGGAGTGATAAGAGAATACCTGCTGAGACACCCAGAGGGGTTGAAGAAACACTGAGAAAATGAAGCCAGCCAATGAGACACACACACACACACACACACACACACGATCTGACAGTCGGGCTTCACACTCCACTTGACTTGCTGACTGTCAAAGGATGAATCTGATTTATTGCAGCTATCTTATGATATATGTCAAACATGAACCTCTAATGGCGAATTCTGAAAATAATTGATTTAGCATTATTATTTTCATTTAAAGGCCAAATCAATAATTCTTTGACCACATAAATTTGAAATATATTCACATACATAGTGTTAGAAAAGAAAAAAAGTGTGTGTCTTAACTAAACATGACTAAAAATAAGGCCTGTTTCACTCCAATTTCTGAACTGTTTCTGGATGCATGTTCGGCAATTGGGTTTTTAATTTTGCTATTGAGGCTTTTGATGACAGAAAGTGCACCAAAAACTGTCCTATGATGGGAATCTGTCCTTTTGCAGTCAGTTCAGAAGGCTTGATTAAGTGTGTGTGTGAGGGTGCTGAGTAGCATGCTCCTCCATAGTGAATGACAAACACTCTTGCTATTGATCGAGCTTGCCTCTTTTCTCAGACCAGCTGATACGAGGTAATTAATGACTCCATTTTCTTCTGTACCACAGGCAACAATTGAGTTTCATACAGCAACACTAATGATGCAACCTCAACCCTTCACCCAAGGGAGCCTTTTGAAGAAAAAAGGAAAGCCTGCTAAAATATGTGGTTAACGGATGGTAGGAGAAGCACATGTGGCAGGAGGGGAAAAAAACTGATTCCTTCATAAATGTTACACAAAGCTAAAGTCAATATATTCTAGCAGAGAAACACACATATACACACACACCCTCCCATCTACACGTACACACACACACACCTCTATTCCATTCTCTCCATGGATCTATTTCTTGGTGCGAGTCGGGTTCATCCTCTGGCCTCAGCCATTGAAAAAAGGTCAAGCAGCCGAGCAGAATGGCAATAACGCCCCTGAAATGGTACCATCAGTGGAACATGATTGATCAATTGAATTCCATAGCACAGAAAAATGTGGGATTAAGTAGAGTATTATACGCACAATGAGTTGAGGCATGATGTTCATTCCAAGTTCATTTCGCCTCCCTCCTCTGCTGGCGGATCAGGCAATCAATAGCGGCCTTGCATATCATATATCACCGCTGGCTCGCCCAGGAGAGAACATAATCTGCTGCAAATTTAGAATGACAGATTTGTATGGGAGCTAAAGCCCTCATCCGCTGTTGGCGGCGGGGAGTAGGGAGGAAGGGAGGGTGGCGGGAGGCAGGCAGTGGAGTGGAGGTTCCTGGGCTGGAGGTTTTAGGTGCAGATTTCTTTTTTCTTTCAGTGTGCAGGACTTGATGAGTGAGCAGAGGGAGAGCTGCAGCGGCAGCGGCGGGCTCCCCGACCAAGTTGATAGGGTCAGAGATCAGGAGAACGAGGGAAGCATAGGCTCATTTGTTTATATAGAGTGTGACCGAGTGAGGAAATGCATACGCTTGCCCCCGATGCCCCGTCCTCATTCGGCCCTGAGTGCCGTCCCCACTCCATTCTGTTTTCCAGAAGACAGGCAATATGTGGGGGATGGAGGGAGAGAAAGAGAGACAGAGAGAGGGAAGGGTAATATGTTCAGGAGGAAATAGTACAGTTAAATAATGGCCCTCCATTTCCCGCTGGCAGAATGAGAGGCTCTGTATGTAATCGCCAGCCCTACTTTCTCCTCCTGAAATACACGCTCTCCCTTACAAGTATATATTTGCACTGAAGGTAATCCATCAATTACCATAGACCTATCACATGATGACCGCACTGATGGTGGCCACGAGGACAGGTGGGGGGGGGGGGGGGG